TAACTTCCAGGTCTTGATTCGTGCTATCCCTTTCATTACCAGATGAAAGAGCTCTTCACGCTTAATCAAGTTACCTCTTTGTTGTCTTTTGATGTATTAATCACTTTCTAAAAAAATCCCTTATATCCACATGTCTGTCTTGGCCTGAAGTGGTTTTTGTGTTCCCTCACACACCATGCTTTTGATTATTACTATAATATTGGAAATTGTAATGTAATTTTAAAGAAGCTAACGAATCCTGCACGCGGGACACAATGAAGTTAAGCACTTCGCACATCTAAAACAAGTTATGGTGCCTGCTCTGAAGAGATCAAAGAGCAGACATATGGCTGTAGACCATGAGAAACAAAAGTACAATTCAGACTACTCAGCAAGTCATTAGCTTTGTATCAGGAAGGACAAGCATAGTTAACGTCCCTATAGTCAGGAATAGCTAAATTACTAGTCGTGTTTTCAAAGGAACCCTTAAAACTTAAGATCAATATGGGTTATTTTAGATCTCCCCCCCTTTGCTCATAGCTACTGAAACAGTTTTCGGATGTTGCTTATCCTCTTGCTGTCACTCAAGTTCTGCTTAATTTTTGCAGTGATTGGGAGTTACCTGATATGGTGATGGTTTGGGCAAAAGGATACAAAGGTGGATATGTAACAAAAGATAGGACAAAGGAGGTTAGGATTTATTTTGAATTATTTTATTCTATTCTAAAGCAAGGATGAAAGTTCCAGATGAAACGGAAAATTGCTACTTTCCACTAAATACCTTTTTGGCCAGAAAAGTTTTTCAGCTTCCTAACAAACATCTCCTGGTTTGTAAAACGCTTCAGTCTCCAGAAAATGGAATTGCAAGAGGAAATGTGAGAACAGTAAAAATTCTCTTATCTAATTGTATTGACTCTTTCTGGGGCTCTATTCTACTTAAATGTAAGAGGAGGAGGAGAAAGAGGAAGGTGAAAAGGCAATTCACTTTCAAGAAAGGGGAAAAAAAATCTAACACATGACATTCAGTTATGAAAGTATTGGATTTGCTGTAGCAAAAGGAAAATCAAACCAGGCAAACCCTCAGGCCAGGTCCTGCAGTGACCAATGTGCTTTTAGGGGAAGACCAAGAGAAACAAGCTACACTGCACACTAGGGACTGCGTAATGCAGAGGGAAAATCGTGCAAAGATGAGAAAGTGCTTCCTGCCCCCTGCAGCGATCAGCTTACTCCTTGAAGCATGAGATTTGATTACCTCCATCTCAGCGGGCACAGCCACGAATATCACTGTGTGCCTGCGACTGCCCAGCACGTTCTATTTGATAAAGTGACAATAACAGAAGTATTTCTAGAGCACTTCTATCCTGCAACCTGGGCAATAATTGCAATGAGAAACCTATAGCAAGAACGTGCAAATAGCATTAAAGGCATTACAATCTCTTGGCATTTAGATCTTCTCTTTTGAGATAAAAAAATCCTCTAAATTTATCAAGTCTAACAGAACCCTGTGATAATTCAATTGCCCACGACAGAAAAGCAAGAAAACCCAGTGAAGGAGTTGTTTATCTGATAGAAGCTTTAGGACAATCCATAGAGGTGACATATGGCATATACCCTTGTGGTGTGCCATAAAGCTTGAGTGCAGATTTTTGCAAAAGCCCCTAAACACCACCCATCAAAGCAACCAAATAAGAACACTGACAGTTAAACATCTGTGTCCTGCTCAACAATATGCAGAAGAATACTTGAAGCCTGACATGCCTTAACTATAGAATAACTTCAGGCATGCGATGATACTGGCTTACGAACATCTTTAGACTACTACTCTATTAGTAGCACTGTCTTGCCTCAGTGCACACAGCATTAATTTATTGGTCCTCTATCAGCCACAGGGCTCTTCACCAGCTTCAACTCTAAACCATTTCAGCTGAACCTGTATGGAGGTAAGGCCACAACCACCCTGGGAAGCTGTACCAGCTCTGCCTAAATCAGGTAACACGGTCAAGTACCACTTCAAATTCTGACGTATGACAAAGACTAGGTTTTCATGAACTCCAAATCTCCCATTAAATTTACTAACTCCAGTTCTGGAAAGTCTTTTGGATCTTGTTTTTAATTGTATTTATCTGTTATTGCCTCCCAGCAAAGCCAGGGGTTTCTTAGAAGGGTAATTCCTTCTCCCCTGTGTGTACATGTCACATACTGAAACTTTAGGGAGGAAGAGGGAAGATGGAGGCTACATTAGCTTTCATTTCTTTAAAATGCTTTGCTGAAGAAGAGCTGAATTTCCAAGACAACATCTTGGTTCATCCAAGATGAACATCTTGGAACCAAACTCAAAGAATTAAGAAGTCCAGTACCTGGATTTGAGGAAATACAAAAGCAGGAGATTTGGCCTTTAACACTTTCTCTTGAGTTCTTCCTGGGATGAACGTGTGCTTGAAAGGACCAAAAAGAAATGGCAAAATGTCTTCTTGTTGCCTGAAGGTATTTAATACAGTGGAGCAAGGGGAATGTAATCAGCATTAAAGTGCTCTTCATAAATAATGGACAGTCTAGCAGCTTTTATCTACTCTGCACTTTAAGAAAGTTTCTCCCGCTGAATATTTCATGAGCAAAAGGTCATTTATCATGGTTTTTAGATTATCCAATTTAGAAGCTGTTAGGAAAAAAGTTCCATCTTTCAGTGCAAAAAAATGCCGAGTTTTGAATTTCTAAAGAAACACTGGCAGCCCAAACACATTCTGAAACGTCTCACATACCAACTGCCCGGGACACGTCTGCCCTGACCTGTAACTAGTGAGTTTCAAGATGTCCAATCCTATTCAGAAATACACTATTTATTTTCAAGTGAAGAATAAACCTGAACGTGCATTTTCCAGACATGTCAGTTCTTGTTTGCACTTCCTGCCAGAGTAAACTGCTGATCCCAGGCCGGTTACGATGCGCATCTGCCACAGCCGTTTGCAGGGAACCTCTTTCCTGTGCATCATTTCAAAGGTGCGTTTTGTAACAGCCTTTTTAAATGACAATTAGAACTCCACATAAACAAAGCCATTAAGGAAACGTCCCGGCAAACAGGTGGATTGTCAAGATGAGCTAGAGGCAACCTTAGCTCTGTCCCCTGTGAATGAACGACTACAACGCAACCCTACCGCCGCACCCAGAGGCAGATGTTCTGTGGGTGTAGATTAGCACGACGATACAGAAGTCAGTCGTGCTGCATCTGGTTTCCATCAAGAGAACCAGCAGTGCACTTCTCCTCAGCATCAAACACCACACACCTACGGAAGGACACCACGGGAGTGGCGCAAAGCAGCGCACCAGGCACCCCAGTGACTTGCAGCTTCACTAACACCAAATCGAGTGGCTCCAGAACATTAGCAGGTAACAATCCTCAGCCAGAGATATCCTTGGGGAAATTTTCCGTTTCCTTTGTAATCCCACACATCCAAACCTTAGAGCTACTCTTAACAAAACAGAACTACAGCAACAAAAAACCAAGCCCAAACAAAACCCCCTCACTTTAACCCCCAAACAAGTGAAAAAATAAGGAAAGTTTATTTTCTTTCTAAACCTAACACAGCAAAACCAGCTTTCCTTTCATATTTTCTCCATATGGTAACTGAGCCCCCACCCCAAGTCCTCTTATTTTATCCACAGTCCCCAATTTAAAAGACCATGTATAAAAAACCATGACAAGACCTATCAGCAGAAGTCAAAAGCAATCAGAACAAACAGTACCATACATGGCAAATCATCTACATACTAACAGACCCCTGCACAGGGACAACAAACATGCCTGTGACAAAAAAGGGGTTTATTTATTGAAAGACTTCCTATGACACTGCAAAGATGGTGTCTGAGATGCCTGGATAACCTCTAGATCAATCACCTTCATTCTTCATTAGCAGCCAAGTGCAGTGCAAGCCCCATGGAGCGATGGGACACGCACAGAAACACCACATAAGAAGCTGTACTTTGGACCTCAGGCATTTTTCTGTGCATTTGTAAAAATAAAACTGATCTTTAGCACTTAATTCAAATAGGCTTACAGCTTTGTTGAGACTGTATGTTCCTCCTACAATCAGCAGCAGAGAAACTCAGACTTAAGACACTGTATTTAAAAGCTTCAGTTGCGTTAACAGCCAAATTATACTGTTAAAACAGAGCTTTTGATGTCTGTTGCCGAGCTAGTAGAAACAAGAACCCATGATACCTATAGGCTGTCCTGCTGCCTTTTGCACTGCTCTTCTCTCATTACATTCCATGGGCTTGGGTGTAAAGGTGGAAGGAAAATCTTTATTAGGGAAAAAATTCAAAAGGAAGAAAATGTCTCCGAAGGAAACAAAGCATCTCAGTTGTGTCCCCTGCTTGTGCAACAAGCAAAGGAAGCTCAGGGTAGTGCTCACCAAACCAGACTGCAGCTGGATCCAGCCAACGCTCTAGACTAACGAAGATAGAGATCTCCTTTTCTGTTGGATAGTACCTAACAATTTGTCTAGGGACTATAATCGAAGCCAAAGACAGCTTGTTTACTCTGTATTAAAACACAGTATTTCTTAGCACACTGTTAAAGCAAATCTGGTATTTAGATAGAGCATTAGATATCTAAGAGAAAACAGGATGTGCCAGTTTAGGTGAGCAATCCCACAAAGAATTACTATGATACTCCTATAAAACCAACCTATGGTCGTGGAATGTAAGACAATAAAACCTCCTACACCTGATCATCCGATGGGAAATGAACTGACCCATCTAGAAACAGTGCAGCTACCCTGCTTCATATAGAAGACACTCAAAGACGGGGTGCACATTTCCCCTACTCCATCCTCACCCCTGGGATGCCCACAAGCCAGTAAAAGACACAGAAAACCAGACATAGATATCTTGAGTGCCAGTGTTCAACACGTGACCATAGTGAGAAACGCTTCTCAGAAGAAAATTCTTGTACTGAGATGAACTTTAGGCATCACTGAACTCACTCCACAGTTCTCAGAGGGCAAACAAACAGGGCAACTTACGTAGCTCTCCTACTTTGAGTATTTCACACAGCATCTTTGTCAGCTCAATGCTACTGCGGCCAAATGGGCACTCATGCTTGTCTTCTCGACTGCTGTTCTCCAGGACAATCTGAAGGAGGAAGCAAAACAGGCACAAATCAGTTTGAAGAAGCCGTGTGGTGAAGTACTGCTCTCCGCATCCAACATCTGCAAGATAGACCAGGCTGAATTTAAGAAACTGTAATTGGTGGCCCTGTTTTCATGAACCAACTAAATGACCTACACCTGAGGCAGTCAGCAACACAGAAGCAGTGCTGCTCTATAGCCAGCTAGAAAGCTCTGCCATTCCTGTGCAATGGTGCTGTGCTGCATCACCCCTGGCTTGGAGGAACTGCAGTAGAAGCCAAAGAGAAAGAAAGTTTCATTTCAAATTTGCCCATTAAAGGAAATGAGATATAATGATTTAGAGACAAGAACACACCTAGAAGGAGCTACAAAACCCCAAAAAACAAAGTGGGATTCAGGCTCCAATAAAGGTCCAAGTGTCAAAAGACAAAGGGAAGCCCACAAAGGAAGAGAACATGCATTATGGAAGAGACTTGTGCTTGTGTGCAAAACATTTCAGGGAACTATCACTCTTGCATCAAGCCTATGAATGCTGCAGAAGCAAATCAAGCAGAGCTTTTGTATTCTCTGTTGAGTGACACTGCAAAACAAATGGAAGAAGACAATTCCTTGTTCGTTTTTACACCCATACCACACACAGTTGGATAACATTTTCCCCAGAGCCACAACTCAACAAGAGATTTCACTGTAGATGGAAAAATGAGTGACAGAACTCATTCTAACCAGCTGCTGCATAGCCTGGGGATGAGGGACAGAGGAAGAAAATGAATTTCAAAGGTAAGAGATTTTGCCAGCTCCGGAGAACCTCAGAAGCTCTCTACATTTTCGTGCACAAATGGATGTTTAGACCTAGATCTCTGCTTTTTGTTCCTCCTGTCTCCTTAACTCCCACCTTCACCATGTCCTTTTGTTGGTTGTGGGTTTTTTTTGGGGTTTGGTTGGTTAGTTGTTTCAAATGGTTCAAATCTGGCAGCAAAGACAGCTTTGCAAGAGGCTCCAAGGCTGGAAATATTCACCCAAACCCAGGGGGAGAGTTGGAGAAGAAAACTGACGCAACGCTGGATGCCAGCAAAACCTTTCCCTCTCTTTCTCCCTTCCCAGATCCTTGTTGTGACTGTTTCATGTTCCTCTTATGTGCAGAAGCCTTCTCTGTGAAGCTGTTAAAAGTGGGAAAACAGCAAAAACCCAAAAGCAAGTAAGAGAGTTACATCCTTCACGTATCATGCCCAAAGCCTCTTCACCAAGCACCTATTTTAATCCTCCTGTACAAAGGGCAGCCTCCAGCTGATACTCTGTTCCCAACACATCACCCAGTGATTACAGAATCATGGAATGGTTTGGGCTGGAAGGGACCTTAAAGCTCCCTGCCATGCCCTTTAAGGTCACTCCACTAGAAGGAAGGTTGTCCCAAGCCCTGTCCAACCTGGCCTTGAACCCTTCCAGGGATAGGGCATGTAAATGGCTGGCTGCTCTCCATGTGATGAGAGCGGATGATCACTTCATTTTATGTTCCACTGGTGTTTTTTTAAATCACCTTTAGACTTCCCAGAGACATTCAGAAAATCATCAGGGATAGGATAAATATTTGACCTCCGTGATTTTTTCCTGGCCTTTTCCAACAGGACAGTGTCAGAACCGTGTTACTCACTTTGCCAAGAGGAGCTACTTTCCCTTCTCAGTGTTTTGGGTTAAATTACATATAATTGTTCTGTATCATCTCTGGATAACAGCTGCACCAAAAACACCCCTGCATTTTCTGTTTTACGTTGCTGCAGCCACTGTTCCAGGAACACGTGAATATGATTTTGCATTCTGGATGAATCATCCTGCTTCAGCCTCTTTCATGGAGGATAGAGCTACATTTCCCTGCCCAAATGCAGGAGCGATGATAGAGCAGCACAAGCCCCATGCGAAGCTGTGTCTCAACACCTCCCCGAGATTGCTTCTCTTGTTTTATTATTATTCTGCTTTCTCTCTCACATAATAAAACATAAAATCTGCATATTGGAGCAGGGGGCTGCTTTGACACAGATTTAGATACGGCAGAGAAACACTGGTAATAAAATCAATGGAGAGGCAAAATGAAAGGGTATAAGGGGGAGGGGAAGGGAAGCACACGGATCAGAATTCCTGCTCGCTT